CTCTGCCTCATATCTGAGCGTGTTTTACTCTACAGAATAATCTGCAGCCCTGTTTTACAGGATGCTGCAGAACCTCTAGAACAGTGTTGTCTTCCAGACCTTTGATGGTTATTCAGAATCTCCCTGCATGAAAACGGTGAGGCTGTAATGTCCATGCTGAAGACGGAAGGATTTATATTGTATTTGTTTTGCATCTCATTTGAAAAATGTAAGCAGTGTTTTTTTTTATTATTAAACTTAAATTCATACACTATTGTCACAAGGTGATTGTGGATATGAGGTGAGGCTGGAAAAGACTAAAACAAAAATAAAATAAAAAGCTGAACAGCAGGGGAAAGTCAAAGGAATCTGGCTGTACAAAATCAAGGGCGACATGAAAGTAGAGTTGAGAAGTAAAGCAAATGACTAAGGAAGCTGAGGACATCTAGGGGTAATGGCAGGATCTAAATACAGAGGAAAAATGTGATACAAAACAGAATCAAACTAATAAGTGTATTAGGAACAACATGGTTACAAAAATGCACAAGCAATGTCCAGGAAAAGATCATGACCCCAGAGAATTCAAACAAATGACCCACAAAGAAACAGTTCAATCACAGAACAGATAAGAAATTCAAAGAACAAGAAGGGAGGCGGAGGGGAGGGTGAGGGGAAGCTGGGGGGAGGGCGAGGGAAGGACCATTGGGAAGAACGCAGACCTGTCCAAGAGCAGCTTTAAGGAAAGCTAAAACACATTCAGCCATAAAAGGGTTAAATACCGACCAGTAGGTCAGTTTAAAATCGTTCTGAGTCCTGAAAAGTGGCTTCAGTCCTTTGATGTGAGGCTGATGGACTCTGATGGGGTCACTCCCTCCATCAGAGGCCTTCACTGACCCCTCCCCCTCCTCTAGTTACTGTCTCTGCCTCCCAGGTGTGATGAACACGTTTGGATGCAGCTGTAACAAATGACTAATTAGTTTGTGTGCCAAAAGATAATGTGGAGTCCCACAGTGAGTCATGTGGGGGGGGGGGGTCGTGGATGCTGTTCTGATGATAATTTAGCAGGTTTTGACATCAGGGGACATGAATCGAGTTTTTGTCAGAAGTTGAGCAAAGATAAATGTGGCAGTCGTGCCACCGTGGGTGCCCCGACAGAGTTCCAGAGACCAGGATTCGTTGGTTTTATGGGCTTTTTATTCAGAGCGTGTGTGCCACCCGCACACACTCTCTCTCTCACACACACAAGCACACACTCACACGTACGGCCGGCTTGGGCTCTTTTGCTCAACGGCTGTTGCCAGTGGTGTCCCCGAGCTGGTGGCCTGTCTCCTGCTCCAGCTCCCCTCTCAAAACCAGTCCTCCCCAGGTCCAGCATGCTACTCTTTTTACAGAGGGGAGAGTGATTAGCCAACCGGTTCCAGGTGTGCCTAATCATCTCCCCTGGCACTGCTCACCTGAGCCTCCTCCACCCCTCCCCCCTGCAGCTGAGCGCCACGCCCCCTCCACAATAAACTGTCTGAGTCTGTTGTAGGGTCACATTGTGCTCAGTTTTGTGTGCTTATATCTCATTTAAAACTTCACTGGGCTTTTTGGGGTGGCCTCATTGTTCTATTTGTTCTGTTTGTGTTTTATCTGCAATCTCTTCACTTTGGATTGATTTAATCAATAGGTTTTCCTGTTTTCTTTGTTTTTTCTTTATGTATAACTTCTGCTTTTAAGCTCTTTTTTTGAATGATTTTTTCTTCTGTCCTATTTTATGTAAAGCACTCTAAAATGTTTGCTCCAGTGAATGAGCTTTTGAATAAACTTGCTGTCTCTATTGGCCGGTGAGGCCTTAAACTGCAGGAGATTCTTCATGTGACCAGAGTATGAATCACAATTTGGCTTTTGTCCTGTCAAATATAGCACGATATTAGTGGTTCTCTTAATTTTTTATTGTGTTTTGTTCATTTGGATTGGGAGACGTTGGAACTAAAACAACATCTGTGGTTGAGAATTCTTTTTTTTTTGGCTCGATTCCTGATTCAAAATCTAATATTGGAATCAGATTCTGCTTTCTCCTCCCGCTTTGTTGTGTCTTTTTTCTTTGTAAAAACCACCAACAACACTTGTCATCGTTGTGGCTCTGTAAACAACCAGTAGAGAAGATGAAGGAGATTATCGCCATGGCAACAGCCCTGTCAGCAGATGACAAGAGTGATTCTTGGAGCCTTAAAAAGGATAACCGGCCGGCCGCTGCCCTGACCCACACAGGGACGGACACACACACCAGAGGGCTTTAGTCAGAGGAGACGGGACTGCCTGGAGAGCTGGACAGAGGATGAAGACCTCTAGAGAGCTGGACAGAGGATGAAGACCTCTGGTGAGCTGGACAGAGGATGAAGACCTCTGGTGAGCTGGACAGAGGATGAAGACCTCTGGAGAGCTGAACAGAGGATGAAGACCTCTGGTGAGCTGGACAGAGGATGAAGACCTCTGGTGAGCTGGACAGAGGATGAAGACCTCTGGTGAGCTGGACAGAGGATGAAGACCTCTGGGCAGTGAAGACTTTGGTCTTTGGTCTCAGGATCTTCTCTACTTCTCTGAACCCAGAAAGACCAAATACAGGACTTATAACCAGGTCAAACTGAAGTGTGCTTGTTGCCCTGAGTTGCAGTCACTATGGAGACGGTGGGGTACACGACACTTTACACACAAACAACACAATGCAACACAACAAAACGCAATACATACAAGACAGTAAAACACAAACAACACAATACAATACAATACCGTCCATCATCATTACTTCTTATCCCCTAATGGGGAGAGGTGGGGTCCCCCTGGACGGTCCCCAGTCCATCACAGGGACACACAGAGACACACAAGGACCAACAACCACACACACTCGAACCAAGAGCAGTTTGGAGTCCAACCTAACATGCAGGTTTTTGGACAGTGGGAGGAAGCCGGAGAACCCGGAGAGAACCCACAGACACACCTCCACACACACCCCCCCACACACAGACCTCCACAGACACACCTCCACACACACACCTCCACACACACACCTCCACAGACACACCTCCACACACACACCTCCACAGACACACCTCCACAGACCTCTCTGCTGATCCCCCCCGTTAGAGCTGCTGTGGGGGGGGCAGTAGCCCTGCCTCCAGACCTCCATCATAATTATTGAGTCACTGATATCTGCCAAAACAGCAGCTACAAACACAGTTTGCTGCTCCGTGATCGATGCTACACAACAACACAACAACACAACAACTGGATTGTGTTTCTGCTGGCATCAGGGGAAGGAGCAGAAAGAAGAGCAGAAAGAGGGAAACTGTAACTCAGTTGCCTTCTCCGGGATCGATGTGGAGCAATCCATTTTAATCTTGTCCTGAGTGATCCGGTGGAACAGCAGAGGGGGGGGGGCGGTGGGGGGGGGGACTCAGCACACCTGGACCAGCAGAGAGGAGCAGAGAGGCCATTGATGAGGGTCCTGATGGTGAGTGGTGATTGGTGTTTTCAGCTCACAGCGGGCAGAATCCTGGTTCAGGCTGAGCCGTGTCAGCTCTCTGTGCCCCCCCCACACCCCCAACCCCTGGTTTCCTCCAGCTCAAAAAAATCTGCCTGGTCAATCATTCCCAGATCCCAGATTGTCGTGTACGTGAGATCTGCCCGGCTGGACATC